AATTATGTTAAAGACAAATATCCAAAATAACTCACCAGATTTGTTGAAGAACCTACTAGAATTTCTAGAGGTGACTAAAATAAGCAAAATTAGAACTCAAATGAAGGTTCACTAAGAAAATTAATAACCCTAAATGCGTAAACACACAAAAAGAGTCTTGAACTATATGAAACAAAAATGAGTATAGCTGAAAAGCACAATAGACAAATTCATATTTACAACTGAGGACTTCATTACCCCAGTCAGCAGAGACTACTACCTGACAGAACAACTAGACCAAATATCAGCACAGGTGTGGAGAAATAGACAATGCAATTAACAATAGGCTCTAGCTGATGTGTAGAGAATTCATGACCCAACAAAAGCCGAAGACAAATTGCTTTACAAGGACGAATGGAACATCCACTAAGACAGGCCATATTCTGAACTATAAAACAAATCTCAGTGAGTTTAAAAGAATTGAAATTAGAGTATGGCCTCAGAACATAATGAAATCAAGCTGAAATCAATACAGGAAAGGGGATGAAAAAAGAATTGAGATGTGTTACGTATGTGTACCAACTCCCCACAAAGAATGTAATGATTATGTAATGCCAACAGGGACTAATACAAAATAAAAACTAGAAAATAAAAATGGGAAAAATATTAAAACACTTGAAAATTAACATTTTTCTAAATAACTCATAGGCCAGAGAGATCATTTCAAAGGGATTTTTTAGATAGGAAATTGAATAAAAGTAAAAATGCAGCAAATCAAAATATGTTAAATGCAGACAACATCACAAGAAGGGAAATTATCATTACTAAATGTTTACATGAGAAAAAAGGAAAGTTCTCAAAGAATAAAATCTGCATACATTGGAAAGGAAAAAAAATTATTTGTACATGATGTGGTTGTCTATATAGACAACCCCACCAAATAGGGAAGGGTGAAGGAGGTGAAGGGAAGGGAGGGTAATGGGGAAAAAATAAGAACAAGATATATCATGTAAAGGTACAAGATCCCAATGATGAATGTAACTGTATTGTTTGCCTTAAATGTACCAATAAACTTAATGGGGGGGTAAAAGAAAACCCCACAAGTCTACAAAAAATTTTTCAGAATGAATTTGACACAAGGCAAAGATTAATGTATATATAATATATACATGTTTTACATATAATGTGTATATATATCAATAACAAATAATAAACATCACAATTTTTTAAATATTTAAAATTATCTAAGAAGATAAAATACTTAGATATAAGTCTTACAAAATAGGTATAGAATTTGTGTCCCAAAAAATTACATGATACTAATGAAAGAAATCAAAGAAATCTTAATGATTTTTAGTCAGATCAACAGAACCAAAATGTAAACTTAATGAACTGGAATATAGATCAAGTGAAATTATCCAGAATGAAGCATAGAGGGATTTTTATAAGTTCCAGAAGAGAGGATAAGAGACTGCAGGCTCCATATATACAATAAAAGGGCTGAGAGAGAGAAAAAAAAGAGACCAGAGATAATTTCTGAAGAGATAATAACTAGGAATTTTCCAAATCTAATGAAAGATACAAATCCAAAAATTTAAGAGACTTATTGATCCAAAAATAAGATAATAAAAATAAATTCATAGGTTTACAAGGAAAATGTTTAAATCAATTATAAAACACAGATTACTTCACCAGAATAGTATCTAGACTTATAGGGAATTTCTCAAAACCAATTTAAAAAAAATAGAACAGTAATTTCAGACTGGAAGAAAAATTATTGTAAATAATTGCTTTACACCCAGTGTAACCATCTTCCAAGATTGAGAGTTTGAAAATGTCTATCAAGAGTGAAGTCACTAACTTAAGGAAACTACAGGATATATTTTATTGAAAGGAATGTGATTCCCAAATATAAAGTCAGATATGTAGGAAGATATTAAGTACAAAGAAAATGGAAAATCTGTGAATACATTTAAATGTGCATGATAGCATAAAAGAGAATAATAAGTTGTAAAAGGATAAGGAGAAAGATAGACTTAAAACTACAGTAACAATGACATGTAAGTCAGGAGAGTAATAAATGGAGTTATAAAGTTCCGAAGTCCTCATCTTGCTGAGAAGGAGGGTGAGGGTTTTCATTTACTTTGGCTCCAAGACAGAATATGTAACTTCTAGTCTGAAGTTTTAAAAATATGGAATTTTAAAAATCCAAAGAAAGGAATAAAGAATAAAAGAAACAATATGTATGACCAAAAAGCCCCACAAAATAAGATGATAGCTTTAAATTCCAATATATCAGCATTCACATTAAATATAAGTGAACCCAATGTTCAAGTTAAAAGCAAAACATTGTCATACTTGACAAAAAGATGGTTTAGTGGATGGTTTGCAAAGTTTTGCCTAAAACAAAGGTGTAGAAAGTTTGAAAATAAGGAGCAGAAATATTCCATGAATATGTACTAATCAAAATACAGCTGTTGAGGCTATAGATTAGACAAATACACTTTAAATTTAAAAAACAATCATTCAGGAGACTGGCTCCATTCACAGGAAGATATATACCTATTTTAAACATGTAGGCATTTAATCACATATTCTTAAAATATATCAAACAAAAGTGGAAAGAACAAAAAGGAAAAACAGAAAAATCTATAGTCATGGTGGAAAATGTTATAACTTCTTGCAATTAATACAACAGGCAGACAAAAGCAATCAATAAGAACATAGGTTTAAGCAATGTAATCTTAACCAAATAGATAGAACATTATACTGAACAATCACAGAATACATATTCTTGTAAGCACACATGGAACATTTATCAAGACTTATCATATATTGGGACATAAAGCAAGAATCAACATGGTTCAAGAGGTTGAATCAATTTAGAATATGTTCTCTTACTCCAGTTGATCTAAGCTAAAAATAAATAACGAAAATGTGATCCCAAAATCACAGAATTTTGGTAACTAAGAAATATACTTCTAAATCATGGATCAAAACAGATACAAAAATAGAAATTAGAAAAATATTTGGAGCTGAATGATCATGAAAATACTACACTATCAAAACTTGTGGGGGCCAGGCACTTAGTTCAGTGGTGCCACCACCTGCCTCACAAGTGCAAGGTCCCAAGTTCTATCCCTGGTACCAAAAAGAAAAAAAGAAAAAGAAAAATTGTGGGATACAAAAAAGAAGAAATGTGCTTAGAGGGAAAAATTTCTTTCTGGTTTTTTGTTTTTTTTTTTTTGTTGTTGTTGTTCTTTGAGACAGGGTCTTACTATATAGTTGAGACTGACCTGGAACTCAATATGTAGCCCAGGCTGTAAAGGGAAATTTTAAAGCTTTAACTGTATATTTTAGGAAATAAGACAAACTGCAAATTAGTTTGCTGAGCATATATCACAAGAAGTTAGCAAAAGAACAGCAAAATCTCACCAAAAGAGTAGAATCAATGAAAATAAGAACAGAAATTGGTGAAACAAAAACAAATATTCAGTAGAGAAAATCAGTATGCCAAAAGTTCATTCTTTGAAAACACTCATAAAATTACAAATTCCTAGCACGTACAGTACTGCAGAAGGAAAAACAAAATGAACAGAGCCAAGATGAGGAAAGACAAAGGGAATCCCTGAAGATGGTACAGACATTCAACAGATATGAGGACTTTGTGAAGAACCTTATGTCAATAAACCTCAAGTTTTAAAAGTAATAGACAAACTCCTAGAAAAATTATAAGTTGCCAAAAAGTGTAATGAAGAAATGAAAACCTGAATCATAGCCATTGAAAAATCAGAAGTCAAAAATTTTCATACATGTTAAACCCTAGCCTCTTAAGACTTTTGTGAGTTCTGCCACTCAACAAAAAATGCTACCTCAGTCCTCCACACAAGCCCTCTTAGAGTACAGAAGAGGGAGCTCCTCAACGCTCTTCAAGAGTGGTGTAACCTTGACCTCAATACCTGATTAGGACAGTAAGAGAAAGGAGAGAATATAGACCTGTCTTCCTTCCCAAAAACAAGCGGCAAAGTGAGCACATCAATGCGTGGAAAAGATGCTATATCTCGACCACATCGAGTTTGTCTCAGAAATGCAATGTTATTTTCAAATTAGAAAATTAATCAATGTAACACAATATATTAACAAACCAAAGGGGGAAAATTATACCATTATCTCAGCAGTTGCAGTGAAAAAATGATAAAATTCAATATACACGCATGACAACTTTTAATGTAGAAATAGCAGGGACTGTCTCTTAAAATAACATTGTCAGGACCATCTAGGCTTGGCTACTATAACTAATGCCCTAGTCTAGGAGCTTAACGCATTAAAGTTTCTCTATGCAGGGACAAGGGGAAAAAAATGAAAACAAAGACCTGTCATGTAAAGGTACAAGATCCCAATAATGAATGTAACTGTACTGTATACCTAAAATGTACCAGTAAACTCAATGAGGAAAAAAATAAATAAAGTTTCTCTCTCATCGGATAAATCCCAGGTATGTGCACAAGATCTACAAGCACTGTCCTTTGCTGATCACACAACCCACATTGTTCTTCCCTCCCATGAACAGCACATCCCTCCAAAGTCACTGTGGGTGTCGGTAGTCCATCTATATCCTATCTTCCACCAAACTTGATTCATACTGAATCTCATCGCTTCATTGTCCAACCTGACAGTACCCTACTTGGGCGAAGAAATTACATACCATATGTCTCTTCTCCCAGAGGGAATATGATAGTGTTCCTCACGTTCTGAGTTTTACGGTCTGCATTGCTCTCTAGGAGCTTACTGCCTAGGCTCCACCTTCCTTTCCACTGACGTGCTTCTCTGAGTTGTAGAAGACTGAAGGAATGGTGTGCAGTCACTGAGGTAGTGCCTTTTGCCATTGTCCACCAGCAAAGAATACTAAGGTCTGTTCCAACTCAGGACAAGGCACAGATTTTTAGCATCTGCCTGAGCTCCTGCTGACAAAAGGCAAGCATCTGTTGGAACACCCAGCCTCACTACTGTCTCTTGCCTAGGAATGTACCAGGTGATAGAGGGCATCATCTCACCTGTTAATGACAACTACAGGAAGAAGGACCTGGTACCTTCCCATCACCGAGTGGCCATGGCCCGTCTGGCCCTACAGACGTCAGACTGGATTCGGGTGGACTCCTGGGAGAGTGAACAAGCACAGTGGATGGAGACTGTGAAGGTGCTGAGGTAATGGTGGCCATGCTCTGATGTGTGGAAGTCGCAAAGCCCAAGGATAGAAGTCAGGACAGATTGCTGGGCAGGGCTTCAGCCAGAAATGCTCAGCCAAGACTCTAGAAGTGTCTCTCTGCTTAGGGTAAGAGAGATGTGCAAGGTTTCAGAGGGATCCCCAAGCAAAAATAAATCACAAACCACTGTCCACGAGGGAGCACTCCGTGGAAGCACCTAGCCTGACTGGTTTCCGAAGTTTATGACATCGGGGGCCTCGGCGATCACTTGGTAGCTATGTGACTTTGAGAAAGTTTTTCACATGAGACCTATTCCTCATTTCTCACATGACAACAATGAAACATACTGAAGGGTTTATTTTCTTAATTGAGTTTCTTGGTATATTTTAAGTATACAGTACAGTACAGTTACATTCATTATTGGGATCTTGCACCTTTACATGACAGGTCTTAGTTCTCACTTTTTCCCCTTGTCCCTGGCTAACCCTTCACCCCCTCCTCCCCTCCCCATTTACAAACACTTTATTTCCATTTTTTCACTTTCTCATTTTTTTTCTTCTCCCTTATTACCTTTCCCCTACCCTTCCCACTTTCCCTAAACCTTTAGTCCTTTTCTTCCTATTTCACATTGTCGATTATTTCGTTAGGATCTTATGTACTATTATAGTTTGTCACACCAGACAAACTATTCAGTATTTACACATGTGTGACTTATTTTTTCACTTAGGAGTATATCCTCAATATGTATCCATTTTCCTATGAATGAATCTAATTTCTCATTCTTTATGGCTGAGTAGTATTCCATTTTATAGAAAAACCACATCATTTTAATCCAGTTTCCAACTCATGGGCAAACAGGCTGTTTCCAAGTTTCAGCTATTACAAACTGTGCCACTATAAGCATAGGTGCATGTACCACTGTGGTATGATTCTTTTAATTATTTTGGAAAGATACCCAGCAGAGGGAGGGTTGGGTCAAATGGAGCCTCTAGTCCCAGCTCTTTGAGATGTCCCCATATTAATTTCCATAGTGGTTGCACCAGTCTGCACTCCCACCAACAATGGAGAAGGGTTCCTTTCTCCCCACAACCCCTCCAACATTTGTTATTGTTTGATTTCTTGATAGCAGCCATTCTTTGTGGGGTGAGGTGGAATCTCAGTGTTGTTTTCATCTGCATCTCTCAAATGACCAGTGACGTGGAACATTTTTTCATATATTTACTTGCTGCTTTTACTTCTTTGTCTGAGCAATGTCTGTTCATTTCAGATGCCCATTTTTTAATTGGTTCTTTATATTTGGGGGGTTGGTTGTTTTGAGTTCTTTATATATTCTAGATAATAGTTCTTTGTCTGTGCAGCTGGTAAAATTTTTTTCCCACATTGTAGGTTGTCTCTTAGTTCTGTTGATGGTTTCTTTTGCAGTGCAAAAGCTTTTTAATAAGATGAGATCCCAGTTGTTAATTCTTTCGGCTAGTTCCCATGATACTGAGGATTTGTTCATAAAGTTTTTCCTATGCCAATGTCTTCAAGAGTTCTGCCTAACTTATCTTACAGCAAGTTTAGTGTTTCTTTTTCCCACATTGTAGGTTGTCTCTTAGTTCTGTTGATGGTTTCTTTTGCAGTGCAAAAGCTTTTTAATAAGATGAGATCCCAGTTGTTAATTCTTTCGGCTAGTTCCCATGATACTGAGGATTTGTTCATAAAGTTTTTCCTATGCCAATGTCTTCAAGAGTTCTGCCTAACTTATCTTACAGCAAGTTTAGTGTTTCTCTTTTAATATTTAGATCTCTATAACCTCAGGTCTGTTTCTTTGCCAGTACCATACTGTTTTTATCACAGTGGCTTTGTAATATACATTCAAATTAGGAATTGTTATACTTGCTGCCATGTCTCTGTTGCCTAGGATGGCTTTTGCTATTTTAGGTCTCTTATGGTTCCAAATGAATTTTTGGATTCTTTTTTCTAGTTCTGTGAAATATAGTGTTGGAATTTCAATTGGCATTGCATTGAATCTGTGTAGCAGTTTTGGTACTATGGCCATTTTCACTATGTTGATTTGTCCCACCAGGAACAGAGACTATCTTTCCATTTTCTTATATCCTCTTCTACCTCTTTTTTCAGAGTGCTATAGTTTTCAGTTTAGAGGTCTTTTGCTTCTTTTCTTAGATTGATTCCAAGATACTTCATTTTTATGGATGCTATTGTGAAAGGAATTGTTTGCCTAATTTCTCTCTCAGTGAGTCTGTTATTTGTGTACAAGAAGGCTATTGATTTTTGGGTGTTGACCTTGTATCCAGCTACTCGTCTAAAAGTATCAATTAAGTCTAGAAGTCTTTTGGTAGAGTTTTTTGGGTCTTCAATGCAGACTATCATATTGTCAGCAAAGAATGACAGTTTAACTTCTTCCTTTCCTATCTTTATTGCTTTAATTTATTTATCTTGTCTAATTGCTATGGCTAATGTTTCCAGAACTATTTCAAAGAGGAGTGGTGATAGTTGGCATCCTTGTCTTGTTCCTGATTTTAATGTGAAGGTTTTCAGTTTTTGGCCATTTAATATGATGGTGGCTGTTGGTTTTTCATAGATAGCCTTTATTAAGTTGAGCTATAGATGATCTATTCCAATTTTTTGCAGGGTTTTTATCATGAATGCATGTTGAATTTTGTCAAATGCTTTTTCTGCATCTATCAAGAAGATCATATGGTTTTTGCCCTTGACTCTGTTAATATATTATATTACATTTATTGACTTACATATGTTGAACCATCCTTGCATCCCTGGAATCAATCCAACTTGGTCAGGATGTATGATCTTTTTGATGATCCTCTGTATTCTGCTTGCTAGTATCTTACTAAGGATTTTTTGCATCTATAATCATTAAGGAGATTGGCCTGTACAAAAGGTTCTCTTTTTTTTAGTTGGGTCTTTCCCTGGTTTGGGAATCAAAGTGATACTTGCTTCCAGCAATGAATTTGGAAGTATTGCTTCCCTTTCAATTTCAATGAAAAGTTTGAAGAGTAATTGCAGTAGTTCTTCTCTAAATGTCTTGTAAAATTTAGTAGTGAATCCATCAGGGCCTGAGCTGGTTTTTTTTCATAAATTTTTAATTACATTTTCAATTTTATTGATTGTAATTGGGGTGTTTAAAATGTTTTTCTTACCTTTGTTCAACATTGGTAATTCATAAGTATCTAGAAATCTGTCCATTTCTTATGTGTATTCCATTTTGTTAGAGTACAGGATCTCAAAGTAGATATTGACTAGCCTTTGGATTTCTGTTGGATCTGTTGTGACCTCACCTTTTTCATTCCTAATTGTATGGATCTGAGCCTTTTCTTTCCTTTTTTTTGATAAGGTTAGCTAAGGGTTTATTAATTTTATTTATGCTTTCAAAAAACAACTCAGAGTCATTTATTTTTTGTATCATTTTCTTAGCTTCTATTGCATTGATTTCTGCTCCAATCTTTATAATTTCCTCTCTTGTTTGAGTTTTGGGTTTTTCTTACTCTTGTTTTTCTAGGAGTCTAAGATTCATCTTTAGGTTGTTTATTTGAGCTCACTCTCTTTTCCTAGCGTGGGCATTCAGTGCTATGAATTTTCCATGTAGAACTGCTTTCATTGTGTCCCATAGCTTCCTGTATCTTGTATCGGCATTTTCATTTATTTGTAGAAGCTGGTTGATTTCTTCTTTAATTTCCTCTGTGATCCAATGATTGTTCAGGAGCATGTTGTTAAATTTACATGTGTTTGTGAAGTTCCTATAGTTTCTTGTGCTGTTGACTCCAGCTTGATTGCACTATGATCTGATAATATACAGGGAATATCTTCAATTCTTTTGCATTTATTGAAACCTGTTCTGTGAGCTAGTATGTGATCTATCTTGGAGAAAGACCCATGTGCAGCTGAAAAGAATGTATATTCTGATTTTGTTGGCTGGAACACTTTATAGACGTCTATTAAGTCCGTGCTTGCAAAAGCTTGGTTCAGTTCTAATATTTTGTTGTTAATTTTTTGCCTGGATGATCTGTCTATTTGTGAAAGTGGGGTATTTAGATCCCCCACTACAATTGTATTAGTGCTTTTCTGGTTTTTCGTGTTTCTTAATATTTTTTCATATAGTTGTGGGCATTAGTATTTGGTGCATATATGTTTATGATTGTCATCACTTCCTCTTGAATTATTCCCTTTACAAGGATGTATTGGCCTTCTTTGTCTCTTTTAATCAGTTTTGTTTTGAAATTTACTTTATCTGGGAATAAGATTGTTACCCCCTGCTTTTTTCTGGGCTCCTGTCTCCTGGAGAATTGTTTTCCATCCTTTCACTTTCAGTCTATGGACTTCTTTTTGCACTAGGTGTGTTTCTTGTATGCAACATATTGTTGGATTTTGCTTCTTATTCCATTCTGCCAGTCTATTTCTCTTGATTGGTGAGTTGAGGCCATTGACATTGATGGTTATTACTGATATGTACTGACTTATTATTGTCATGTTATTGGCCATTTGGTGACTCTTTTTTACTTTTTTGCCTTCTCCTTTTACTTTCTTGCCTTGCCTATTTGATTTGCTCTGTTGGGCCTCATGGTGTTGTTACTTTCATTGTCTTTTTCTAGGAAATTGTTCACAGTTGCTTGTAGTGCTGGTTTGGTGTTCATGAAGTTTCTCAGGTGTTCTTTGTCTTGGAAATATCTTATTTACCCATCCATTTTGAAAGGGAGTTTTGCTGGATACATCAGTCTAGGTTGGAGGTTGTTCTCTTTTAGTACTTGAAATATCTCACTCCAGGCTCTCCTTGCCCTAACGGTTTGTGTTGAAAAGTCTGCTGTGATTCTGATGGGCTTTCCTTTGCATGTGATTTATTTCTTTTCTCTTACTGCTTGTAGTATTTTGTTCTTCTGTTGGGTTTCTGGGATCTTGATTATTATATGTCTAGGTGTAGGGTTTTTTGTTTGTTTGTTTGTTTTTGTTTTTTGGTTTTGTTTTGTTTTGTTTTTATCATGGCTA